GTAAAAGCAAATAAAACAAGTCCATTCCCTAAGTGTTTAATTTTCCCTTTTGCTATGCTAGGCATCCAGGCTTTTGACAAGTTTAATCCTCTGTAATTGGGTTAGAAATAAAAAATTCTCAGCCATGGAAGAGGTGACTTCTGGTTTTAGTTTTGATCTGTATTTTTAGGGTACTGTCAAAGGTAATAAAGAACTCTCAGTCTGCAGTTGTTGGCAATAGTCTATATTCCAATAAGAGGCAGCGTAGCCTCCAAAGGTTGCTTTACTCTGATATGGGAAAAACACTTTATCAGTCTCCCAGGCCCTCTGCATAATCTTGGTTTCCACATTTATTAGTAAGAAATGTTAGATTCTCCCGGAAATTATATTATGATTATCAATAGCCAAATATTTTTGGTTGAGTAAAATCTCATCATAAACATGGTTGACTGTTAAAGAAATTCCGAGCAAGTTACATGAATTATTTGATGTTGATTTACAGTCAAAGAGTTAATACAGAATTTGCACAGGGAGCATACATGTGTCATAGCAATTACAATTACATAAAATCACAGGTGCATACTTCCCCTGTGGAGAAAAAAAAACCCAAAACAATTCTATAGACTATTATGAAATAAATGTACCTGACTCGTACAGTCAACAAGACTGCCTCTCTGCAACTGGATCTTTTTGCACACCAGTAGCAACTAAATAGTTAGAATTCCAGCTAAATCAGCAGCCCAACAGGAGAGCATTCCATACACTCACTCACGCTAGTTCAATCTTCCATCTATTGCCAAGGCCTGTGAACCTACCAGCCGAGCCTGGAAAAAAAGGAGTTTGATTTCTGTGGTAAATCAGCCTTGGATGTTACAGCTCCCTCCCCATTAAAAATGAATTCATCAATTTATTAATTGAGGAAGAAAATACTCCGGATATTAATATATTCTTGCACTGATGTTTACTATTATGTCTACTAATGTTTTATTATAAACTATTACATCTAACTACATATAACAAAACTCCCCCCAGAACTCCTCCCATCAGAGCAAAATACCAAAATCACTAAGAACTGAGCTTTCAGCATTGCAGTAGGTATGGGCAACCACTTCAATTTCTGGTCATCTAGGTGACATCTGACACGGAGGAAAGAACATTTCCTTTTCCTCTGCATTTTGTGAACAGGACAATATGACCAATCTCTACTTTTTCCATGGACTGCTATCAACATGAAATCATTGTTAACAGTGCAGCTGGCCATAAAAATGTACATAAGAGGTAAATCAGACTTTATTAAATTAGTTTTAAGAGAATAAAGAATGAAATCATATCCCATTATAAAAGATAAAAATTGACCATCGTTCTGTGGTTGTTTTTTTTTGAGTCTAAGAAACCAGCAACAGATTATAGCAAGTAAAATAATTTACAGCAGATAAAGAGAAAAATTTCTTTAGCTGATCTATAGCACAGCCTTTAACTCCTGACCTTTTAGAAATACCTTTGGGTCTGGCCAGTTACAGTTTGAATGCACATATTGTGTACAGTGCACATTTTCCACCATAACTCAAAAACTGTTTGTTGTGTGGTTGGTTTTGGTAGTGTGGGTTGTTTTTTGGTTTGGTTTGTTTGTTTTTTTTGGGGGGGGGGGCGCATTTTAGTATCAAGTCACCACAATATTTAAATGTAAGATAAAAGAAGAAAAATGAGAGCTTACTTCCTCAAGTTTTTTTGAGATGTATTATCCATATGCACATCCTCATATCGAAGCATGTATGTTTCCACATCCTCAAGGTGGAAGAATTTTGGCCAACAGTTCCCAAACATCAGGAAAGCATCCTGAGGGTTCTCATGTTTTAAACTGAAGGCTTAAACATGACAGCATCGCCTTCTTTCCATGTTCTTTCAGCCACAAAGTCCTTTGTGGACAGGGCTCCAAGGCAGAGGACACAGAGATTAGGACTGCAGAACATACACATGGATAACACATCTCAAAGAAGTCCAGTTCAGATACAGAGAGGTAACTTATCAAATTCCCTTCTGAATTACTAATGCAACTACTCACATGCTTAGTGACCCTTCAGAATGTCTCTGACTTACCTGGTGATAGAAGCAGAATTAGGAATTGTGGGACAGAGGCCCAAAGACAACAGGTATAAACGCTTTAAACATTATCCTGTAAATTCAACATAGCTAATGTGTATGCAAACTATCTGATATTAAGTAAGCAGTTCAAGTCTTCAATAATAACAAGTTTTACAGACTACAGATTTTTCTACAGTATTCTAAGTTTGATTGTGCCAGACCAAAGCCCAGTATAAAAACCTTAATTTACCTGAGCAACATGTGGAATATGAGTGGTTTCAAGGCTTATCCTTGAAATTACAGTTTGCAAGGTTCATTGACTGGAACAGTGCTTTGAAATCCACTTGGATCAAAACAAAAAGCATATAAATCTTAGGTAAATATCACATCTTCTTTGACAAAATTAATCCAATCCAGGTTATTATATACTATTGAAGTTGACGTGGATAAGTTTCACTTTACATGCAGAACCATGTGCTGCTAGGAGACCTTCAAGGAGGATATAGGAAAAATAATTACATAAAATCATACTAAGGCAGTTTTATTTAAAAAAATAAAATAAAATAATCAGACCCAGTCTGTCCGATACAGAAGTTTTAGAAAATTGAAGTTTCTTACAGTGGCTTCACTACATTAAACACCCACTGAAATACCTGTTTCACTTCCAGATGTAGTATGCATTGCAGTTAGAAGGTCTGGTTATTTGTGTGGTGTGCATGATTGCAATAAAAGTGTTTTGGATAAAACAACTGCACTCTTAAGCCAAGTCTTCTTAATACTACTAAGAAAAGCCCAATGAAAGAAACTGAACAAAAATGTTTTATTTTGATACTTAACTTCTAAATTATAGTATCATAAAAAATTGATTTCTGCAAATGTCAGCTGCATTCTATTTTCAACAGTTGATGAGTTTATGTACAGGTACACATTATGACAACAACTACACTCAAAATGTTGAGCACACTGCCATATCTTTAACCTTCAGCTTTACAATGTTTTTTCCACCCTCCCAGAAAATACATTTCAAAACATCCAAACAATGTCCACACACTTGAGTCTAGTAGAAATTAAAGGGATCTTTTCACCAATAACATTCTGTTTAGAGTTTACTAATGCTTGAAAATAGTAGTAAGCTAACCTCTAATATGTGTAGTAACATACTTGTTTTAAAAATATTTTCTTACAAGGATTTTTGCTGTTATTGTCATTGGAGGAAAAATACAGAATTCTTGCAAATCCAGTACTATGTCCTTCCAGCATCTCAATATACACAATATTTTTCTCATTTTTTAAAGCACCGTGGCTTTGTAAAAAAACTATGCTAAATCAGATTAACTATTACTTTTCTCAATTTTGTATATTTTAACTGTGGGCTTGTCCTACTCTAAATTTTCAATTAATTATATTCTCTTTCTTCCGAGGACATATAATATGCTGTTTCCACCTTATGCTAAGAAGGAATGAAGGAATTCTTCTCCCCCTTCCCTTCCCCCCCCAACAGATTTGATTGGCATCTGCATATAACTTTCATAATTAAAAAAAAAGAATTGCAGGATTGTACAGCAAATTTTGAAGAAATAAAAATAAAAGCATTAATAACGAGATTCTTTGTGCTACTGTCATCATCCATTTTTGAAACTGAGCTTTCTTAGAGCTCAAAATTAAAACCTAGTTCCATTAAGTAATACCAATTCTGCTACTGAATTTAACAGAACCAGGAAATCTTCCCAATCTTTAGTCTAGCGTAACATAACAGTATGTGAGCTGCAACTTTCCAGGGATGAAAGCAGCACTTCCTTCATCAGCTAACTGCTAAGAAATTGCTTCCTCCTCATGTTTTGCAGCTTTGGCATTTCTATGCACAGCAGCTCTCCAGCACACAATTTTTATATATAACCTTTCTGCCGGTATCTTATCAATCCAAACTCCTTCTCCAGTAAAATGGTAAGAATTGCACTGAAGCAAGATCCTTCACAGCTGGATTTAGTAGAGGAGCATTTACCTCTAGATTATTCTGCCTAGTTGGACCCGAGTACTTTTCAACTTCAAAGAATGGGAAAACATGAAGAATTTTGCTTTCAGTACAGCCCAAGGCACAGCATAAAACAAAAAAAAACCATAACTGAAGGTGCAGATGATTCATCACTATGTACTTAAAACTACCTAAAACTTACTTAGGTATTGCAAGTTTGAGGTTTTCCAGTCTGTGTTTTTTTCAAATTCAGAAAACGGGAAGAGTAAGGAACATCACACTAATGGACAAAGCCCTCCAAATCTGCCACATATATCTTGTTGATCACAGAATTACCTATTACAACTGCAAAGCACGCCGGAGTTCTGCCATCGATGGTTATGTTCAAAGAATTGTTACAGCACTTTCTTACTCCATCTGTGACAAAAATTTTGAGTCTTTTGTTTGAAGATTCAAATGATTAAATATAAACTGATGAAAAAAAAAAAACCCAAACACAAAACCAGGAGCTTTAAAGCTACTCTGCCAAATCACCACTGGTTTAATAGTTCTATCTCATGCTATTAAAATGGATAATACAATGTAACAGTTAGTAATGTCTAATTCTCATCTATCAAAACTGAGAGAATATTTGAGGTGTTTGAGTTCTCCCTTGATGTATTCCTAAAGTAACCTCCTGTTAGTGGAATGTGAAGACAGGTTAAACGAGACAAAATCTGACTGTAAGAGCAAAATTAGCAAAGGCACATTGACAAGGTGTCCTTGACTATTTGCTCTTATCATGCTTGCTATAATCATGCCTAGAATTACAGTTACAAAGATGGGTTTTACTTATGAAAAGTTGCTCTTTGGAAACTGCAGGGATATTGTGGATGATGGTACACCTACCTGGTCACCGCAAAAGACAGGACATGCATGCTCTGTGTCTTTAGATAAACATGTCCAGTTGTAGTTTAAGCATTTTTCATTAATGTAACAGTAGTAATATTATACTGTCTTAATAACTAAGTAATGATAAGTAGCATGAAAAATAACTGCAAAATAACTCATAAGCTTCTGTCAACTGGTTGGCTCAAAACAAAGCAAAGTATTCATGCCTGTTAACTGCTTCTCTTGTTTTAGCCCAGATGATTTTGTAGCAGCATGTCCTTGAAAGATAATATGAAATCCCCCATAAAGCATACTCGTCTCATGGCTGAACAAATCCAGAATTATGTCTTAAATACAAAATTTGGTCTTCCTTACCCCATCTCTTTTAAATGTTCTTTATATTAGGCCTTCCAGGAAGAAAACAAGAAACTTGGTTTCCATGGTATCGCTCAGCATATGCAGAATCTATATTTTTGTCTATTATAAAAACGATACTTCACACTCAGTGTGGTACTATTTGTGAGTCATCATAGCCAGATTGTGGGGAAGAGATAGGAGAACCATACAGAAAAGGGAGATATGCATTTATCCAAAATTAAATACTGAGACACATTAACATTTGGGAGAGGAGACTGAGGAAAGGAGCTCAAACATTTCTAAAAGAAAATTATTTCTTCTGATGGAGAATTTCTTGATCTCACCTTTGGCATTTTATCTTCTGAAAATAAAATCCTGCTCTCATTCACTACATCAAGTATGTCAGCACTTAAAACTAGAGGCTGGACTACAAAATTTAGTAAGACTTAATGTTCCAAGCTATTTTATGTCCAGCTACAAGATTACTTCTAGCAAAAAAAGTCAATTTTGATTATGGCATCTGTAAGCAGTATAATATCATGACATTTAAATTAGCAATAGGAATAATTTTGAATGTATTCTTATCTATTTTCCACACTGCATTTTTCAAATTATGAAAGACTTTTATAAAGACCAACAGATGCAAGTTTACTGGCCATAAAAAAATGCCTTGGGAATAGCAGATCTTCTTCAGAGAGTATTTGTTGCTTCAAGTAGATTTAGTGCTGAGACACTGTGGTAGTTAAAGCACAAACAGAGGCTGTTGATAAAGTGGCAATGCATAACAATGTTGTAATGTATTATAAAGGAGCAATTGCCTGCAGTTCATCAGCATGGATATGGCAGTGAAGTTCTGCTTTACATATTCCAGGTACTAAGAATTTTGTAGCAGTGATTACAGGAGGTTCTTCTTCCCCTATAAAAGGAAAAAAAAGTGAGGTTCATTAAATGAAACATTGATTTTGCATTTGGTAAACATTTTAGAAACAATGCAAAGAAAACTTATAAAACCCCTCAGGATCATAATACCATACATCCATGAGGCTGAACTACCATGCTCAGCAACTCCTTATCTAAAGAATTAATACAAATTTTCTCCCCCAGCAGGGCTTCTTAGAGAAGACCCTATCAGTGAATGGACCTAGTAAAGGTTTGGTTGTTGGTACTTCCTCAAAATTTAACTGGTTTGAACTTCAGTTGATGATGCCCAATATGATGATCTCTTTGAGAATCTTTTCTTTGCAGATCAGTAGTCTGCACATGAACTTCATTGAAAGATACAAACAACTGTAAATTATGTGAGTTATGATTTTAATTCAAAATATTAAATCAAACTGTCCTTTAAAGAAAGGAAAAATCTACCTCAAGATGCTAAATGACAGAGCTATTCACTTCTCTTCTGACTAAGTAATGGATAAAAAAAAATAGCCAGAACAGAAATGATACTGTGAATTCAGAGTAATAATTTAGAAATGTCCAACTCTTAGAACAAGAATAAAAGCTAAAAAATTCTATCTACTCCTCTCATTAGGCATATAAGTATCAGGGCTACAAATATTTGGTATGTCTGGGACAGTAAAAAGATTTAATGGGTAGCACTCATAGGCAGATGATGCTCAGTTCTAGATACTGTCTCCGTTGTACCTGTACCTAATTAGGACTGTGGTTTGGCAGAGGGAAGGTTTGAGCGAGCGTCAGTCAGAGTGGTACTTTTGGACAGGGACAGAGAATGAGAAAATGGCAGAACTTATTGTGGTTTCTTAAGATGTTGGAACACCAGTGTTAAGATCCAGCTCCACCAGCTAGTACTATAACGTTTAACCTCTGTAGCTGAAACATGTTAACAACTAAGTATGTGACTTGAGAATTAATTACTGGAAAGACTGCCTCTTTCTTCCAGTGACTCCTTGGCAGCTGGGATACCCAGCTGACAGCTCTGTGATTGAATCAGGAGAGGAATACTGGTAAAGCATTCTTACAGAGAGGCCATAAATTTTAAACTAGCATCCTGCTTTCATCTAACACTAGAACCTTTACAGATATCATCCATAATTTTTCCCTCAAATGTGAGAAAAGGTTATGTTAGAAGATGGCAGAAAATTAAAGGATACAATATTAATTTTGAAACAATAACAGAGTATTTGTGGCTTATGCAATTAAATCAGTAAATCTATATTCTTTCCACCCAAAAAGTTCTCAGGTTTTAATTATTTTGTCCTATAAACCATCTAGCCTATAGATACAGATGCTATATCTGTAAATCAACACCTATATTATCTCCCCCGAAGATAACTCTGGCATCAAAAGTTAATTACGAATTATCTGAATAATAATTTAAAAATAATCCATTTAGCTAAGAGAAAAGTCTACCAAATGAGCTCACTGTCAACACTCATTCAAGAAAGCAGAACAGCATACCACTATTAATATGCAATATTCACCTGTTGTAGCTGCCTAAGGAAAATCTCAGCAAACAGCAGTTTTATCCTATGAATACAATTGCTGGAACATTCCACGCTGATGTAGTTGTGATGCCAGTTCAATGTACCATAACTAGTAAGGTTGGATCAGCTTTTTATATAGCCTGAGGCAATATTTACACCTTCTAACTGTAGGCGTCTAAGCTGGGTATCTATTTCAGTGTCTTCCAAGCATTTCAATTCCTCTACTAAAACCTGTTTGTTCATTCCTCCCAGCACCATGAAACCTAATGTCATTCTGAAACTTGAGTTAGCCACAGTATAGACCATATCCCTAAAGGTTCTAGTATGCGCTGGAGCAAAATAGGATGTCAGTTTTAGATTTATGGCCGTTCTGTAAGAATGCTTCACCATATCACCCTCTTGATTAAACTAAATAGCTGTCAGCTGAGTATCCCAGCTGCCAAGGAGTCCCTGGAAGAAAGAAACAGTTTCTCCAATAATAGGTCAATCAACAACAAGTGACTTTATTAATATAATTTTAGTGAAATCTTACTTAGCTAGGGATCCCCCCGACAATAAGTTAAGGAAAATATTATTTTTTCTAAATGTACTGAAATCTATCTTTTTTACCATCTTTATACGATGCCTACCTTCCTCTGCAGCCTTCTATATGGCTCCTAATGTATTACCTTAAGTATTTTGAGATGGTAGAAATATGCTTACAATAACTGAATGTAATTTTTAAAACACTGCTGTATCTTACCTAAACCTGATGATGAAGAAACACTTCCTGTAATGGAAGAGGTTTCAGTTTGGTCTGTCAATAGTCCTTCCATTAAAGGTAAAGATAATTCAGATGAAGGAACAGACGAATCATAGATTCCAGAATCTCGAGGCATATCTTTAAGATTTGAAGCTTTAACAACATGTAACAATGGCTGAAGAACAGAGCTGCCACCACCTTGATTGTCCTGAGTTTCTATATCTTCTCCGAGGTTTAAGTGCTGAATTATACAGTGAGAGTCTGAATTGCCAGCTGAAATAATATTTACATCTGTTTTCAGGTAAAAATCGCCATCCATCACCTGTTTATTCACCAAGTCATTTAAAACCAAGCCTGAATCAAATTTTTCCATTACAGGCTCCGAGTAATGTAAAGAAGGTGGAGGGAAGGGAATAAATTGTTTCTCAAACCAATCTGGTTCCTGATCGATGAACTGATGCATATTGCAAATGGCAACATAAAGGGACCTCCCCGATTTGCTCCTGAAATAATTCCTTTTACTAATGTTAACAGGAAACACTTCTGAATCCTGTACGCTAAGGTCTCTGGAGTGTAAATGTGAATACAGCTGAGGAAGATTGTCCATGAGTTTGTATTTTGTACTACGATCCAGAATACCAGGGATGTCTCCTTCACAAGAGTAATCAAAGTAGACTGCAATGAACTTGCAGAGGTCATTTGAATTCTGCTTTGCTTGACGAAGCTTCTCTGCAACAGTCAACACAGCAAACAGAAAGAGTTCTCCTTTTCCTGCATCTTTGGTTACCCCTCTGTGTTTCCAGTTCTTTTTTTCAACAAAGTATTTCATTCCCTTGGAACACACAATGATGATAAACTGGGACTCATTTATTTTTTTAATAAGCCACTCCTTCTGACCTTCTTTACAAATTTTTAGATCTTCCCACAAATCTAGAGCCACCTGGAAAAAAAAAACAAAAACATTCTGGTTGATATTCATTATTAGATTATTAGATATTTGCTAGTAAAATATAAATGAGTCATACTCAGTGAGTCAGTTTGTATTTATCTGACAATTGAGAATTAATGATGAGTTTAACTATAGCTTGTTCCTGATGCAAATACAAGCTGTTTTAAAACAGTAATAATTAACATAGCATTGATAGTGGTCAAACTGGAATCAGTGATATTAACTATGCCAGTAGTTATTCACCAAAATAATCACAGCCTCGCGTTCATTCTAAACTTTGCTTGCGGGCTGAATATTTCACTGGGCTAAGGAAGTGGGTGAATTAATAATAAGATAAAAAGGGAAATCTTCCAGACATTTTTTTTTTTTAAAACAAGACTGACACTTATTATCTAAACCCATTTTGCTGCTTATTTATTAAAGAAAAACATACCTAATTATACCTGCGTTACATAGAAATTTATGGAATCAACAAGTAAGAGTACAAAGCCAAGCAGTTGAATGTAAACTGGGTAGTTCCTTAAAAAATATAACCGCTATGGATTTGGTACATAGCAATATCTCTTGAAGAATAAAAAGAACACGGAAAATGTGGTTGGACCAAGTAAATTACTGTTTACTTATCTGGTCAAATTAGATATCATCAATCCACAATAAACAATGTATTGTACCTGCCTCAAACAATTTAACCATTGTATATCTGGGTCCATAATGTGCTGACTATAATGGAAATCCATATTCATTTATCATCTTTTGCCTATTAATGAAGTCTGATGCCAAGAATTTTCATATCTAGATACAAACATAGTTAGTGCCTCTAACGTCGAGTCCTTTCAGTTAGGACACAAAACAGCAGCAGCTTATCTCTGACAAGAAAGCTCTGAAAATTTTATCATAAGAGTTGTTTAATTTTGTACTTTTTCTAATTTTCGTAACATTCTACATTGTCTGAAATACCTGTGACACCAACATGAAGGACACACCACTTTATCTCATGAAAGAATGAGCAGTAGAATAACAGAAAAAAATAGAGATGCAAAAAACCTTTCCTAACAGACGCATATCAAAACCACTTATAAAGCATTTTTCCAGAGAACAAAATATTGTTGCTCTGCTTTATCACCCATAACAGAGAGGAAAACTTTGCCATGTCAGAAGGCAGAGTAGCTGGATGCCTAGAACACAAGGACTCATAAAAACTGTTACCATGGTGTCAGCTACAGGAAGAAAGTGATCATGCCTGAAGCGGTCAGGCAGCTGGACCAGATGATCATTGTAAGTCCCTTCCAGCTGAACTGTTCTAATCTATGCATGGGGAAGAGAAGTCATTTTACAACTACTTGGGAGATATTCTGATAAAGGTACAATGCAGATAAGTTTTTCTTTTGTGTCTGTTTTTGTTTCTGTTCTTCAAAACCCTGTCTGATCTGCTATCTGAGAGAAACGATTTTTAATATGGTCAAGTTATTATTTTAAATGGCTATTAAATGCCACTGGTTTTGTCCTTTATGAGAAAACATTCCAATCCCACATGAAAAGTACTTGTGCAACTGTTCCATTATGCATTAAGCATCACATTTTATATTAAACCACAGATTTAGTAACAACACACATTATTTCTGTATGCAGATGCTATCAATATTTTGTTATATAAATCTTAAATGATGCCTGATACCATGTATTCCATGATACATAGTTACAGCAGTAACAGCTCACCTTAACACTATTCCAAAGAAATATGGTGTAGCAGGGCTAAAGTACACCTCTAAAAAGAGGATTCAAATAAGTTACTTATAAAACACCTTACCTGAACCATTTTAAACAGGAATAAATTGTGAACAACCCCTCCAAATATGAGGCATCGATTATGCTACTGTGTTTGGCCACTAGAGGCCAGACTTGCTGTATCATTGAAATACGGTTCCCCTTCTTATCTTTCAAACCTCAGTGGCAGGATTAAAATGCAGCAAAAACAGGCTAACAATTGTCTTGCCTTTTTACAGTTGAACAGTGAAAGACTAGCCACCTATTGATTATATTTTAGAAAGCAGTCTGAGATTCTAAGCCTAGTCGTTCAAAGTAACAATTTGAGTGTCCTTCTCACAGCTTTAAATAAAAAACAAGAAAAAGACATGCTTATTTTACAGCATTAGTGGAACAGAAGGGAAATTAAAAAAAATTAAAATTAATACATAGTGTCAACAACTAATCCTAACTACAAAGTTTTTGGTCTATGAGTAGTTTTAATAGATTCAGCTACTTTAAAATTCCAATATCCTTAAGGATTCCTAAAATACGTTTTATATCAGGTAGACACCAATACCTCTTTGTGGCTGCCGACTATAAAGATGCAAGACCTACTAAACAGAAAAAGCAGTTAATATGGAACAAACTAAACAGAGGTGAATGAAAGTCCTGGAATCAATGCGGTATGCATTTTCCACTATTCTGTTTTGGTTAGGGTTTTTTCATGTGTGTGGGTTTTTTTGGTTGGTTTTGTTTTGGTTTGGTTTTTACCACAGGCTATGATCTGTTCCTTTCCCTAAGTAAAGAAAATGTATATAGCCAATGTTTAGAAGAATAATGAAAGTTATCTCTGTGGAAAGGAGAGACTGAAATCACTCATTTTCAAGCACATACTATTATGAATTTCGGGGGTGCTGTTTCAGTTAAGGAAACCGTTTACAGAAGAAATGCTGAGTTTACCTCACAGCCACAGAAGTCCTGCAGAAAATAAGCAAAGCACTGGATGACGTTAATGTGTTTCTGGCAATCTTTACTGGAATAGCAGATGAACACTTTTGGCCGGGGACGAAGTCTTTCCACATGGAGACCTGCAGCATATGCTGAAGATTCTGAGCTCTCCTCATCTAGATGGGAATATATATTTTCTAAATTGGAAGAGAGAAAGAGAGTTCGCACTATAAAGCTTGGGTTTGTTTTTTTTTTTTCATAACTTTTGTAGGGTGATTACTAATGCATACAGTAATGACCTTTTTCAAAAGATATTTCTTTCCTTTCCAGCCTGAAAAAGAAAAGTTGCACGCACTCTATTTATCCAGCTTATGAGTTGCTACGTACGTGGAACACACTTTGAAAGTGAAATGTGCAGTTATTACTGTACAACTCAGAAAACTTAAGAAAGACTTATTTTATAAATAGAATGAGGTTGTTTCACCTCTATCCAGTTTCAACAGTCTTCACCTCTCTGTTCAAATATTACAAGCCTTAAAGATGTACCATCACCAAGAGTTTGCTGTAACAGTGTTTTATTTTAAAAAAAAAACACAACACAAGCCAGGTAAGAATATTAAACTCCAGGTACACAGATACCTTCAGAATATCATACAGTATCTCTCTGGTATATATATATACACACATGTTTGGGCATTAATTCGAATTAAAATCTGATTAATTTAAATCAAAATAGCTGTTAGTGTTTCTTTCCTTGTATGGATGCTTTTATGCTGGAACATAAAAGTCTGGTCTTACGCCAGACATTCAATCTAGTTCTACAGTTGATTGAGCTAATTTGGAACTAAGCACAAGTATTTCAAAATACAAATATCCACCTAGGGATTTAATTTAGAACAATTCATCAGGAATAACTATTCTGGAACATCTCTCTCTGTAGACAAATCCTTAGTGATTTGTCTGGTCTTTTTGTTGGAACTGTGCTAGCTGTGAGCAAAGGGAAAGCTACAGAAGACCAGAAGGTAAAAGGATTTAACCCAGATGGCATATAGCACTTGCAGTATACCTCAGTGCCAAAATTCAGATGGATAACACAGATATGTGAGGTTTGGGGACATAATCTCTTTTTCCATATTCATGAAACCACATGATCCCTAGATTCTACAAAAAATGGCAATTGATTTTTAACATCTCAATGTATCAAGTGTGGCTTGCCAGCTCCTGGACACAGAGGAGACAGAAGTCAGCAAAGAGGGATGGAATCTAGTTTAGAGAAACATCTGCAAGTAAGTCTTAGAATGAGTAAATTTAGGAAGATAGCTTAGGATGAAGTGTAAAGGCAACTTCCAGGAAAGTGAACAAATCTGGAAAAATAGACACAGGTAGTATTCCAGACAGTGCTGAGAATTATACTGGTATCACATGGGCTTACTTTCATTCTGGTTCAAAATAAATATGAATTGGACACTTCTGAATGAAATAAGGGAATCTTTAAAATATATCCATTTACAGATCTGTTTGTATTCTACATGGTCATGGAGTACTTTCACAAAGAAAAAGAAACCCAAAACCAAAAATATTTCCCAACAGCAATTTTGTTCTCACCTTTCTACAGTGAAGTCTTGATTTTTGATACAATACTTTCTATGGCAACAAAAACCATCGAGCACTGGTTAAGAATTTGCTACAAGTTTCAACACACACAAAAACTGTGGGGAGGAAAGAGAAAGAAGTAGAAAAGAAAAGAAAGCTCTTCAGATAAAGGTATTTCTGGAATAAACCTGAAGACTTCTTTGGTTGCAAAAGTGCATCTTTAAATGGAACTCTACATTGAATAAAGCCTCTTACCTTGCTGCTTCTTGCGGCACATCACTGTGAAAAGCGTTGCAAATGCTGAAATGACAACTAACGGGACTGTAATGGCAATGGCTCTTATCGGTCCAGCCCACGGAGAATGTACTTTGAAAAATAAAGCAGAATTAGCCATATGCAAATAAGCTATATTACAATTATCTAATCAAATTTTCACAGTGGACATGTAAAACTGCTGCAGTACACTATTATCAGGTAATTATCAAATATACAGTAGAATCAAGCATCATGTTCTGCTCCATTTTAAAACGGTTTTATGCTGATTGCCCCCATCACCACAGCATTAGAGAGACTAAAATAAGTAACAAGTGCTGCATGCCAACTCATACCTCTCCCTATGAGAAGAACTTTACATAAGGTATGCAATAGTCATTTGGACCTGACAGATTTTTGTTGCAGGGTGCTGAACTAGCCACTTAGAAAGAACTGTCTTCCCGCACAGATTACCTTTAGCCATGTGCATTAGGATTCAGTCCATTTTGCCCGTTGCCTTCATCGGCGGCTATGTTTTGTGTCTGCAGTTACATTCTGAAATGCCTATTTAGCTTCTCAATAACTGGTCTGACACATAGACATGCTAAAGCATTCACCTGACAGGTTTTCCAGACTGCTCGATTTGATTCCAGGGCTGAAGCACACAGGCAGGTAATGTGTTTAGGCTGCTCTCACAGTTTCATTACATTATTTCCACACTACCGCATGCATCAGTTGTATGCAATTAAGATACAGGCTATGATTCTTCATATCCATAGATACCAAAAAAAATCACTTTTCCCCAAAGATTTCCAATGATATATTGATCTAACCTGTACTAAATATAAAGGTACAGAGATGCAGATGTGTATGTACAACTGTGCATGTCTACTCGCTTTATTAGGTCAAAAAAATCACAGCACAATCACCTCAGTAGTCTTGATTATGGCAAACAAACACAGGTTAAATCGAGATTTATTTCCAACATAATTAAAACAATCTAAATTAAGAAAGTAAATACTGTATACTGTTTAAAAACCAAAATTCATACCTGGTTTTAGTGCATAGTGCATTGTTTTCCTTGTTGTATTAGTGTCATCAACCAGCTTTGAAAAGTAAAAGTTGGATTTTATTTTGTGGAAATTTAATTTCATTTATTTTCTGCAATATGTGAACAACTATAACAGCTTTCATGACCAAAGATGAAGAAAATTACCATTCAAAAAGTTAAAATTACAGAGCACCATGAAGTAGTAATTAGTGAAATCACTTGTCTTTGTTGGTACACAATTTAATATTGTAATATTAACTTTCGAAGTTCACATATTGTCATCATCAAGAGAAATACACAGCTTTTAAGTATAGCAAAATCTGACCAAACTACAGAATTCCAATTAAGAAAAATAAAAAATAAAAATCAAAGTTCAAGAATTATGCAGGCCCACAACTTTACTCGAAGGCAGATGAAACTGCTATGCACACAGGGAAGCAAAGCTATGGAAAGGTCAAGAACATTCTGTCTAAAAACCTTTACTTGCCCAAGGTACTTTAGTAGGGATGCCTGAAGGCCAATTTTACCATAGTGTGACTTGAAATACTTTAATCTCAGTTGAATTCTCCATTACTATAGTCATTTAGCTGTTGTACAAATGACTATTTATAAATATTACCTCAATTATATAATCCCCTGGAGATACATTCTGAAGAACACAACTTGTAGTATCTGTGTTTTGCTCCTACATCAAAGAAAGAGAATACTTTGCAAGCCATTCATACACTTTTAAAACCTAATAAAAAATACATTTGCATTGATTTTGCAATATACAGTGCTTTCCTGTATTAAGACACCTTAAACCAGCAAAACCAAGTCTCTCCACTCAAATATGCAAGGACTACAATCCTCTGCCTGCAGAACTAAAATATGATTATCAGAAAAAAAAATCTTAAAAGTTTGGTCTAATACATAACGTCTATATTATGCCCTGAAGCTCCCTAGCTTTCAGAGACAGGATGAACGATTGACCAGTGAGAACAAACTTGCCATTGAACACTAACCAAAGTTAACGAAAATCATACAGCAAATTGCAGCTCCCATAATAAGACTTACGCACACAGCTGTAAAAAAAATCAGAGAGAACCTAATTCCATGCACATACTAAAATGAGAACTATCTTGTGATAGCATCTCAGACAGGTAATCCATAAAGTGGTCCAATTCGGAGCAGGGTGAAAGAATAAAGTAGGAAATAATATGTATAACAAACATCATAAAACTGCAGTTTGAAGTGCTAATTACTTGTAGGGTCTTCAAGAGAGAAGACACTCTCTTCCCATTTGCTTACGCTATGCAGCTCCAATGGAGCCCTCGAGCTGGTTTTGACTCAGTGCTATCACATACAATTATTATTCACATAAATAGTACCACATAGTTTAAAAATTTTAAAACTGATAGTATTCTATATTATATTAAGTTTTTAAAGTTTCTATAAAACCACAGAGTTGCAAAACTCAGCGACGTACCTGCTTGCAGGTCTTTTGCTTAAATGGCCCTTCATGCTTAAGTTTGTAGTGAAGAAAGTAATATCTAAACCCAAAGTTGTGAGGTGCATGATCAAAGGACACTTGCATGTTAAAACCCTGCTGGGTAACATTCAGACTCCTTGGCTTCCAGTCTGTCAGAGGAGACATTGGCGAATTGGAAATAAGTGACTCTTCAAGTACAGTAATTTTTGGTAAGATGAACATACAGGAAGTATTACATTTTACTTACAAGGTTTGCAGACAAGGTTTTCTGGCTGTAGCAACAATTCACATGCTAGAAATACACACAAAAATTATTAATGATACAGTATCAAAATGCTATGCTATTTAAATAGAAGAAGAATGAGGGCAAAAGAAGGGAGTTGGTAATTTCGAAGACAATCCCCCCTTTTCTTTCCCAGTCTCTAATAAGCCTGCAGTAAACATATTTTGCAAATTTAGCTTCTTTGTTAAGATTTCAAGACCCTTCTCATCTTTATATGAGAAACACAGGTTCATTAATTTGCAAATAGCATTCTGACAAAAGGGGTAGCACCAGGCACAGCACAGCAGGAGAGGAAGCTGAAACTAGCCTTATGTACGTTTACTCAGTGTAGGTAGGTATGCTGAGCACTATTACAAAGACAACGTTACTGCGGTCTGCATACACAGGCAGGCTGGAGAATATTTTAAGCATGTTTTATAGGGTAAAAACACCTAAGCAGGACAAATATCATCATTGCACCCCAAAGGGTACTCGCAGTTTCTCATCATACTCTTTAAGCACTGAGGAGCTTCTTCATGTTTCTTCTCTCTGACTCCAATGAGAATTGCTAAGTAATTCTGAGAAATTCAACTTGATTTGTTGCTATCCACTTTTGTATGTACTCATCCATATCTATCTCTAGATCTGTTTTTGAAACTGTGATCTCAAGAACAACCTGAGCTCCTTCACAATGTCCAGAGAGGAGAAGGAGCAAACCATCTTCACAAGTCAAATGTTCCCAAGAACCACAGCAGTAATCCTGCTGTAGGCAAACCTGAGACAATCTCAGGCCCACCTGAGACTTTTCTCCTGATTGTTGCCAAACACATATTATCATACACCACAGATTTATCTGTGGCATCCAAACTCTTTCTACTTAACACCTAGATCTTCCTTCAAAGACTATGTCAGTAACTATCTTAATCCAGAGCCATCTAACATCATCTACTACCTTCCTTTGTTGGAAAAACTAAATAGACTGGGGGGGGGACGACGGACACGACACCCCTTGGTGAAGAGATGACATGCAATACTATATTGTATGCAATACTTACGTCGAGTTCGGAAGAAAAATGGGTGATAATTACTTTCATTTTTAATTGAAGGAAAAGGAACAATCTTTACAAAGTAATCTGTTTCAAACTTCAGATTTACAAAGGGCTGGGATTCCATTCCCTACAAAAAGACAAGATTGCAACGTATTTTAAAATCAACTCTTATAACTGAAACTATCTTTCAAAACAAGCCCACAGTTTTGCAAACATAAACAGAAATTAATACACTAAGAATCCTTTATCTACCCCTCCATTACAGATTGACATGAGGAATCTCAACACAGAGTTGGATGTGGACTATTACAGACACGCACCGGCACTCCAGAGTCACCCCAATGACAGTTTCCAGCTTCAGGAAAGCTGCTATAGAAGGGGACTAGGTCTGTCTCCAGAGCAACAACTATCATTAGTTTAATAATAATACTTCTAGGAAGCAACCTGCATCCTAGTAAACAGCACATTGTGTATCTATTTAGATAGAGATATTTAGCTTTATACACAGCATACAAACACTTTCAATACTACTCACATAATCAAGCAACAATGAAACTTTCCTTGAAACAAAGCACTTACTGTTCGTTTAAAACTGGGGCTGAGCTGCTTTGGATCTTTTAAAACCATCTGCTGGCATTGTCTTCCCTCTGATTTTAACTCTTCAAGTATTACTCGAAATCCTTTCAGGTATTCGATCCCTGCAAACAGCAGAGCATTTAAATAGAAGACTAATATTTCAAAATGCATCAGGTGCTATTTTATGTAATTTGAATATATTTAATTTGTCTTTAAAAATAAAACTTACCATTCATATGAAAAACGTTTGTGTTTTATTACCTGCCGTTGCCTGTCAGTTCTTCCCACATTTTCTGTCTTGCTTATTTAGAATTCAATCTTTGGCAAAGGCTGCAATTACTACATACTTGTGCAATGCTTAGAGCAGAGGGGCCCACATCTCAGCTGGGGCTTCCAAATTATCACTGCAATGTAAGTTATCATGACCTTCACCACCCTCAGGAATACTTTATGGTAACTTCACATTTCCATTATTAGCATCGAAATACAACATCTTGCTAGCAAAGTATGGAAATGCTCCTTTATAACATCTTCCTATCATTTCTGAGACTACCAGATTACAGTGATAGCGGTTGTTACAACTTCTTTAGTTCTAGTATTGTATGGGGTAACAGAAAACTTTACTTAAATGGAATGGAATTTATTCCAGTGCATGAATACTTCCAGTTATTTATAACTGGTGCCAGAACTACACCCATTTTTTTCAAGTTACTCTAACACAACTAACTCCCAGCACAGTGTCTTTACATTTCTTTGCCCCATTCTCATCATGGAATTACTTCCCTACATGACTCAACTGAGTCACGGTGATGCAAATGTCACAGGACAATGCCAGACTGTTACCCTGTGATGCTTTTGTGGCTCAGGTATCAAAGTCACTGCACAGTTCAAGAGTAACTACCGCTACTCCACCTAGTTACATCTTTTCAACAGCATTACCTACAGCAGAATAAGTATTTATCAAAGACACAGCCACAGACTTTTGAAGCTAAATGCTACATAAATCAAAATGGATTGATTTGCTAGGCTATGCTTGTCAAACTGAAAAAAAAAATAAAACACCGAAACATATAGTTTATGCTATGCTTGTCAAACTTAAAAAAAAAATAAAACACCGAAACATATGATTTTCTGTGGACTGCCTCTGCTTCAGAAGTTTTCAGGGTTTCATGGTGTTTTTTTTTTTAATGTTTTAATGTTTGATAATTTTGTAGAAGATAAAGACCATGAGTTGCCCAATGTGTTCTTAATATTTCATGGAACAAAAGCACTATTTGTGCTTGCATGAAGACCATGAAAGAGAGTGTCCAGTCTCCGTGTTACCTGAGATGTTTCAATGGCAGCTCTGTCCTCACAATTTCCAAAGGATTAACCTCTGATGATTACAAGAAAGAAAACCAAGCTTTGTTTCCCATAGAGATTTGGTTCATCCAGTCTGCCGCTGAAGATTACCAAATGCTTTCAACTGCAGTTCTGCAGAATTAAGTGTAATTTTCATATAGTCTTTTAAACCCCAGAAATTAATCATTATTTTTTATCCCCCAAAAAATATGATTTAATGCTGGGAGGGCACAAAAAATTTACAATTTTTCTTATATAGAGTATTTTATTAAATAAATGCAGGTCTAGGCTAAAAATATTTCTATCAAGTTTAATAAATACACATTTGCATTATTAGCCATATCTCATAATTTAGGATTCAATCCTACCACATTAATAGGAACTTCCAGCTCTTACTAAATCATAGAATGGTTTAGGCTGGAAGGGATCTTGAAGATCATCGAGTTCCCCCCCCCTGCCATGGGCAGGGACACCTCCCACTAGACCAGGTTGCTCAAAGCCCCATCCATCATGGCCTTGACCTCCAGGGATGGGGCATCCACAGCTTCTCTCGGCAACCTGGACCAGTGTTTCACCACCCTCATTGCAAAAAATTTCTTCTTTATATTTAGTCTGAATACCCTCTTTAATTTACAGCCATTGCCCTTGTCCTGTCGCAACAGGCCCTGCTAAAAAGTCTGTCCCCATCTTTCCTGTACGCCCCTTTTACGTACTGGAAGGCTGCCGTAAGGTCTCCCCAGAGCCTTCTCTTCTTGAGGCTGAACAACCCCAACTCTCTCAGCCTGTCGTCATAGGAGAGGTGATCCAACCCTCTGATCATCTTTGTGGCCCTCCTCTGGACTTGCTCCAACAGGTCCATATCTTTCCTGTGCTGAGGGCTCCAGAGCTGGACACAGTGCTCCAGGTGGGGTCTCACCAGAGCAGAGTAGAGGGGGGCAGGATCACCTCCCTCCACCTGCTGGCCATGCTTCTTTTTATGCAGCCCAGGATATGGTTGGCCTCCTGGGCTGTGAGTGCACATTGTAACCTCATGTTGAGCTTTTCATCCACCAGTACCCCCAAGTCCTTCTCGGCCAGCCTGCTCTCAACCCCTTCATCCCCCAGCCTGTACTGACACTGGGTGTTGCCCCAACCCAGGTGCAGGACCCTGCACTTGGCCTTGTTAAAGCTCATGAGGTTCACATGGGCCCACTTCTCAAGCTTGTCCAGGTCCCTCTGGATAGCAATCATAAGAAAAGCCTGATTTAAAAGCTTTTTGAGGGAGCGTGAACCATGAAATGTCATGTTAAGACTGCTGTATGAGAAAAAGAACATAAAACACCCAATTCCTGTTTTAATTTTGAAAACTGTATTGTGCTTAACTCTAATTATTTTTTTGATGTGGAGAAGCACCTTTGCAGTTAAAAATCTTCAATGAAGTATTAAAAACATTTATGAAGGGAACTCTACCTCTTTTATTTGCTAAACACTGATGACTAAAAAAAATGAGTTTATATTGTTACTCTATTTAGGACCTTAATTAGCAGGAAGAAAAAGAAATTATGAGCAGGGTTGGTACAGAGAGAGGACACTATAGTGCAGTGGTCTCCACATTTTGTTGATGGTGCACTCCTATCAACAAAAAAATATTGAGCACAAACCCCCAGTATATTTACAAAACATACATATATACTACTCTGCTAATATATGATGTACTTTACAAAATATATACAAAAACAAATTTAAAAGGCAAGAGAAAGATTAAACACTATTTTAAAAAAACTTTTTATTTTATTAATGATACAAAAAGTTTTTGCTCCCACTTAAAAATATTAATAATAATAATATTAGTAAGTGAGAACTATGCGATTGAACAAGCTTCGGGGGGGGGGTTAAACGTTGATTTAACACTTTGTGATATGGCAGTTCAAAGGTCTGGTTGCAAGTTCTGTTTTATTTTGTTGCATGGTTTTAATGGCTGTCATAGCTGAAAAAATAACCTCACAAAGATAGATACATGGATCCAAATGGAGGAAGTGCATCATTGGCTGCATTTACTAAATCATGACACTCATTCTTCACTTCCATCCTCTAAGTATGCAAAGGTTTTTCTTTAAACTTGGCTAATAAATTTATATATTCCCTGATGTCAGTTGTTGTTGCAAACTAATCAGAATGTGTTGCATTTCTAACAAATGGGTTCAAAACCCACTGAAACTCTGCATTCAGAAGATTTGAGCAACCTGGTCTAGTGGAAGGTATCCCTGCCCATGGCAGGGGGGTTGGAATTAGATGATCTTTATTAAGGTCCCTTCCAACCATTCTATGATTTTTACACAGGCTAGGAAATTCTGTTTCCTCACTTTTTAATTGTAAAAATATGAGAGTTTATAGGTGAGAAGCTGCCTTTCTTTTCAGCAAGAAAATCACACAACAAAGGTAACATTTCCAAACATCCATTTTCAAAATCTCTTTCCATAGCATGAGTTTCTTTTGGAAAACAGTTACTTTCTCATTCATTATTAAAATGTCACCTTTACCTTGAAGAGACATGTTAAGTGTAGTTTTGTTTGGGTTTTTTTTTTGTTTGTTTTTAAATATGTGCATAGCTGCAGCCACTTATCACAGAAAAGGTCAGCAAATTTGGATCAGTTGTCTTTTTGTGAAAGAAGAATGCTTAACTCGAAGATATTTGAGTTTGACAACTCTTAAGCACTTTGCCACAAGACAACCAGAGAGCCTCTGTCCTCTGTGTGTCACAAAAGATTTTCACGGTCAGTCCCCATCTCATTACAAACTACTGTAAAGATTCTACAATTTAAATGTCTTGGTTTTATATAACCAACCACATTGATGACATCCTGTGCACTTCTGGCTCCAACTTCATTGCTGCAATAGTTTTCCTATGAACAATGCAATGACTGAATTTCATGTGTGGTCCTATCTCTGTAACCTTACACCAGAATCCTTTTTTTTTCATTCCAATATTTCCCTGTATTATTTCAGCCAGTTTTACTGTGTCAGGAAGAACAAGGGTTTCCCCAGCAATATGTGGCTTTTTGTCTTTCACTATGGAGTAAGATACCTTAAAAGAGATTTCACAAAAAGAGGCTTCTAAAGATTTATCATTAAGTTTAGTGAAATTTTTTACTTCGTTGAGTATCGCATAGCTTCAAACATTGCTGAAAAAATTGTAGAGGTTTGTCTTCATGTTCTGGATGCTTAGTTTTCAAATGTCTTGCTAATCGTGATGGCTTCATGGCATTAGCTGAATTAGCTCTCAAGGTACACTATACGCTTAGGGCAAGGTTCATCATTAACAATGGCAGGTGTAAATCTGTATTTCAAATAGCCTTGATAATTTTGGCCAGCTTTTTATCAGAACTGATTAGATAGCCATTGTTTTTACCTTCTAATGTGGCTGACAAAGAGCCTGTACTACTATTGTGGGAACTGTCAGCTCTGCTATTTTCTTGCTGTTCACATGAGCTCGCATTATTAGTATTATCTTCAATTATCTTAAGCGACCTGTCCATTTCAAGATGGTTAGTTTAGTTAAAACTAGATAATATAATCAGTAAATCCACTTAAGCTGGCACACATTCACTGCAATACGTTGCAATATGCTGGAAGCAAATGAAAGAACAAGGGTGCCACTGTGAACCCCTCCACACTCACTCTTCCTTCCAGATACCTCACGTACCACACGTGAAACATCAACATCTGACATACAAACTGAGTAAGTGTGTCAGTGTCAACCCATATATTTAATATTAGTAAAGTTTAGTTTTTCTGTTCAAGATCTAGAAAAATATGTAAACAGAAGTTCTAAAATTTTCTTCACATGCCCCTTTCATCATGTGCACTCCCCACTTTGGAGACGACTGCTCTAGTGGGCAACAAGGTACTTCCAGTGACCTTTAAGTGAGTGAGTAATATTCTTTGTGACCAGACCTGACAAGGAAACATATTAAAGTCTGCACAGCTATGATTAAATAACGTTTTCCACCTGTAAGACAATTTGCATCTTAAAGAATCTTTAAGTGTATTGGCAATTAAACTCCAATAAATGCCGCTGAAATGCACAAGTGCCTTGGGGCCCAGAACAAAATCAGGCCTATTGCAGTTCTGAAGAGCAGCAAAAATTCAACAAACTGGAATAGTAAAAAGCAGCATATGGCTGCAGAGAGCATCCTAGTTTTAAGGGTATTTCAAGTGAGCTCGTAAAAATAGCAGCTTTGCAAAGCTGTTAAGAATTTCTCTCTTCCTTAAGCAGTTTGCTTCAATTATTGCAAGTATAATTTAATTTTTTTACTTAATACCAATCAGCAAGAAGTTGTTACCCAAGACATGATGAATTAGTGCATTTCCCTCTGCTACTTACCGATGGCATTTGCTGTCCAAAGTATTGACACTGCAACCTGTTCATAACATGCATACTGACTGATAGTTATATTCTGCACATCTCCAATCACGTGTTTTCCCACTGAATTCAGATAAGGCGTGCAGTCTAAAAAATATGGAGAAATAACCACTTTAAGACAAACATTCTAGCTGATGTTCTTGTGCCATACCAGAGCAAGTAAATCACAATCTGCCAACTGCACCTAATCTTAAAGATCTATTCATGCAACCAGCTTCCAACATGACCTGCATCTTTCCATGTAAAGAATTAAATAAAGACTTAAGTTAATTTCCTAAGATTTCTTCAAGATTGAGCGAAGTAAAAGTACATGTGCACTATTTATTCTATAAAAATAAGTACTGTATAGTAAATCTAGACGAAGCTTTTGTCGTCTCAGGACACTGAAAAGCACAAAACTTTATAAATCATTAAGCACAACCACTTTCACCAGTTGCAAAACCCTAGTTCACAAGACTCCAAAGGAAATTACCAGTTTATAACACCAGTGTAGCCTGGATCACAGTAAGAGGACGTATGTTGGGACTCCCAAAAGAGAACAACTTTTCCTCACTCAAAAGAATATGAGGACTGACATTAATTTTGTGCATGTACAATGCTTAGAGCAAGAGAATGTTGGTCAACGATCAGGCACGTATGAGAACAATGAACAATGTGAAGCTTAGAAACGGTCCTCAAGAAGTGCTTTTAACCACGATACTGCTTGATCCTGACCACAAAGAACCTACCGCCTAAATCCATCTCATCTCTGTCATCATTCAGTAGCCACATCCCTGTAGACCATTTTACTGCCACTCAATCCAGTCAGAACTGGTTTTGTCTTATTATCTTCACAAAATATACTGTATTCCCTAAAGTTACAGCTCCATAAACATGTGATTATAGAAAACCTCAGCTTTCATTAAGAAAATAAAATATAAGAAAAACATTCTTGACTTTGTTGTTGAACTTGACCGTGTCTTTATGCATTCAAAAGAAGAAAACAAATAACCCCAATTTTTTTTTTACTTTTAAAGCCTTACAAAGTTTAGGCTCATATTGTGTGACAGAAAGAGAAGTAGTGGCCAGAGAATTCAATAGCTCTGGAGCACAGTATATATGAAGACGTATATGCAGAAACAAATATGTTGCTTTTGAACTAGTGAAGCCAACAAAACCCAGAAAGAGTTGACCAGTAGACTATATATTACTGACTGATGATTAATTCTAAAAAACGGAGATAATCTATATGCTATGTATTTGCCTATACAGAGTTTGTAGAAACGAAACATGAAAAATCAAGTGTTATGATAAGCCAATGCAGGAAATTTGAATTTAATTCAGAGGTGTGATCTTAAAGGCAAGGAAAGAAAAAATTATTAACTGAAAAGCACTTTTAGAAAATGGCTTTTTACAATGGTAAATGGGGTCTTTTATGTAACTGTCCCACAAATAAGAATAGAACAGTTTGTACAACATTGCCTTTTACAAAAGCTGGGCAGTTGGTACTTACTCTGCTGTTTGTAGAATTCTGTTGCTATGAGTGAACTCAATGACAGCATGAACTTCCTCTTAGGAGGAGAGAGTATCTCTTTCAATGGAAAGTCTGAAGTAACAGTTTTTTGCTAGGTCTGGATCTAATTAATAGCAAGCCCAAGATTTTGGATCCTAGTTACTAAAATTTTATGGTCAAATGACAATTTGCCAAAATGGAATACAGCACAAGTGTCTGAAGTTTGACTGTGAGTCACTGATTTACATTTTTAAAGAACAACAGATTTAAAAAGAAAACAGCAGGGAAAAATTGCACTTTTCAGGAAACCACTTCGTTTATTTGAATACAAGTGAAATACTAAAACATACAAACCTTTGTTTTTCACCTGAGTAAAAAATCTAACCAACTAATTTAACAACATAAAACACAGTTCACTAGAGTTGCTGTATGGCAAAATAGAAGCCTTTAAATCACGTCCAGCAAGCCAAATTCTCTTTTGTGCTGGCTTATTCATGATAAGTATGTTTCCACATTATATGAACACTTTAGCCTTGATATCAAGGAACTCTTTTCCTAGTACTGCACGAGTCAAATAACTCCTTTGTCCAGGAAGCATACAGTGCCAGCAGAATTTTGAATTAACACTTGTCATTGGTTAAACACAGTTCCTGGTGCCAGAATTAATGGAAAAAACATGACAGATACTGGAACTTAAACAGACTCCATTGTGTTAACTAAATGTGGGGATCTCTGTTCTGACTGGTATTATTTCCTGGTTTTCTTTATGCAGAAAGAAAAAAAAATCATAACTCTCTCACAGCGACCACTTACCTCTTGTACAATCTGACATACTTAAATTTTGCTTATTTTAAATATTAACATCAAATTAGATTAAAAAAAATTCACAGTGGAGGATTGCAAATTCAGAAATTAACATAAAAATAGAGGAATAAAAGGCTGATCAGAATGAAACAAAAGCACTATTGTTACGTTTCCTGATACGTGCTCTCAATGATGAAATTTTACCCACATTCAGCATCTGAGGTAACTTCTTCAGGTAGGCAAAAAAAACAACCTGTAACTTGCACTGGCATTAATACAAACACTACTGCAGTAAATTAGGAGCTTCTGTTGACCACTGATGATGGCCACTAACTGCCCAAATAAGAATAAATTCCCAATGCGGTCAATAGTCATTCCTAACTGACTAGACAACATAGATGACAAAAACCTTTTAAAAATGAAAACAATAAGATACAGCCATTTCCCAGATATTTGAAGAGGTTTGAATTATTATTGCTGCAACTTGCTTATTACTGTTATTATGCTAGAGATTACTTTCTTCTTAGTTTAATTGCAAAACAGACCACATCTGCTACAGTACTAAACCCATCTGTCTTCACTGAAAATGTAGACAGCAGTCTTCCACTACCCTGGTCCTTTAACACTGTAGTGAATGAGACGTTCCAACTACTTCAACTAGGTGAAGAGACGCTATTCATCTTCCAAGTTTATATTCAATATCAGTCCTTGCAAAGACACCTTTTTAATATATTGCCTGTATACAAATACAAACTACAGGTTTTCTACCTTGAGACACACTTCACACAATTTTTCCCCAAAATTACACATCAGAGAAAAGGTGTATAAAGCTTGAAATAATCCTTTCCTACAACTTTGTGTGTAGCTAACCTTTCAATGACTACATTCTTTCACAGAGTAAAATCATTCCCTATAATTTTCCAGCCAAATACTGGGCAGATGATGTAGACCAATATGAAAATGAAACTACTACAAATTATTAGGTTGTTTTATTACCAGTGAAACACAGGAAGGACAAGATCCACCAGATCCAGCAGAAACAAATCTAGATTTTAAAATTATGTCAATGCTAAAGAGCTCATGCTATTCTTAGAGCCGTTTTTAGAGACATGTTGCTATATATTGACAACTGTGATGGAGTCTGTGATTTTTGTGAATATAGTGCAAATTTTCAACTTACTGTCATATTTGAAGGTGATATTGAGTAGTCCATTGCTCTTGGTGACTGATGACAGCCCCTGCAGAGAAATATCAAGAAAATAATTTGAATAAAGCAAGCTACTTTGAACTTCTGTATATTTTTATTTTGTAAATAGTTTGTTGGAGGATAACAGAACCCACGATTATTTCCTTGTTTTGGAACATCATCCATCAGTCTGAACACAGGCAATGACAGAACAGATTGCATACACCGGCATGCACTCACCTGTCATCAACTTTCCAAATGTAATACTCAAAGAAGTGAAAGCAAAGAGAAATGGAAGTCTGAATGTAATATTTACATGAAGATACGAAAATGTGATTTAAGTAGTATGCCTTGCCCAGTAGATGTGAATCAGAAGCTTATTTTTGAAAGAAAGTTATGTGATGTTCTCAACTTCCACCATCTAGGTTAATCATGCCCATACACACCTTTAATCAAGGTGTAATGAGAAATCAAATTGGGTTCTCCAGGGCAAACACAGTGCAAGAGAAGAGACGAGACAATGTGAGTCTGAAAAAGCTGATCTCAATTCCACAGTCATGAAAAAAAGTATCAGAAGTTCAAACAGAGAGAAGAAGGTATGTCACCGCTAAGCACTGTGGTCATAGCACTTTAGCTCTATTTTTTTGGTGAAGGTCATTGAGGAAAAAAATTAAAGGTAGGGGCAAAACAGTAGAAGAACTGATTAAAGAGCACGCACCACCTCCCAGATGCTCCTCATCTCATTAACTACCTCAGACCAGGTGCCTGAAGGACTCTATTATTTATCTGTCACTTGGGCAAACTAACCCATCAAATACTCAGCACACTCAGAACTCATCTATAATCAAGTCATCCTTTTTTCATAAATCTAATATTATTCAATGCTCACAAGAACTACACAGAACCCAAAGCTTAATGTAAACTGAGGTGTGCTAAGCCACGCCACAAAACCTATGGCCTGGTTCATCCGTGTGCCTGAATTGTATATGGGAGAAGCTTACCCCAGAGGGAGTATCAATGTCCAGTGTGTAGATATCTGCCCACGTCTATCCTTCATTAAGTTATTTTATACAGATATATTTGTATGTAATTTATGTTTCTGTGCCTGATATCACTCTTGTGGAATTTATATTTCCATGTGCTTTGAGTCATGTGGTTTATGCACTGGATTACTTTTCTGTTATATTTTTTTTTATGGGAGAGGCCCCCATATAGAGGCCCCAATCATTTTAACACGTAGTGTGAACATTTTAGAGAAATTCTTGCTGAGATGAACTTAGACAAAAACACAGATGGAGAATTTAAATTTCAATCTTCCCATTGATTATTGGTTAAAATCAACAAAGTTAAAGGAGAACATATGAAACAGTGGATTTCCAACTGGAATAATTCAGATAATTATACCCCATAACTTTTTCAGTAGAAGTACATATTGCAGAAATCTATTATGCTACATCAGACACCCTTTTCTATTATCAAATACTATTAAAGCAGATGCTGCCATCCTCGCTGAGCGTCACAGAAAGTGAGGACCAACTGGAGAACTATGCCATTGCTCTCCCAGGGAGGAATCCAGACATACACGGGCTGATGAGTCTGTTGCCTCTTCCACACTTGTAAAAAAGAACTTTGGGCTTCAGAAATGCAATGCCTTACCCTTCAGAAAGCACTGAAATTATTTCTGAAACACAAAATGTAGCATCACCCTCACCCTTACTAGACACAATGTTGAAAACTGAAACACTCATTCTTATGGAGTAATATCATTCTGTGAAAGGCAAATAACATCATGTTTACCATTATCTTTAAAAAAATACCAGCCATTTACATAGATTTTATCTGGGTTTACTGCTATAACATAAAGAACAGAAGTTAATAGTATATAAGGACTCCAACGGTAATTAGATGTTGTCAGGATCACATGTAAACATTTACTGTGTGCCACTTAATGGTCAGACACGGGTATTTACAAAGGAAAAAACAGGGTATGAGTTATATTACCTTTAAAAAAAAAAGTAAAATACTACATAAAGGCTGAAAGCAAATCAGATCTTGATAATATTGTTAGAAGTTAAACTTGTAATCTCACTTTCTTCTTAGGTGGCTTTTCATTTGTTTAACTTCAATTTAGGTTGGCATTAAACAAGCTGTTATACAAAAAGGTTTCCTGAAACAGGAAGGCGTCAATTTTTTTTTTCAGTCTTAACTTTTCTATTAATATCTGTTCTATTCTGACTCATTTTCTTAAACTATATAAAATTTCATTTCACTTACTACTACAGCAAACCAAAGATGTGTTTGAGTAAAAAATGACAAAAAATAAACTATTGACTTTTCACATTTATAAAGGCAAATAAAACATCAAATTCATCAATTGTTACCTGTCTTCCTTTTGTGTCCTAGAGCTGAAGTTTTGAGACATAAATTTCACCAAACCACACAGAAAATTAGCATAAGTATTTTAATTCATTAGATAGTTTCTTTTTACACCCTGTATTTTTTAAAAATATAATATGGCAATGCTTTTCATGACACCTTTAATTGTATTTCCACTGGGATTATGGTAACATCACAAAACATGTAACAGTAGAAGTATAAATCAATATACCATAATCATTAATAAAGTAGATGCAAAAACTAAGGAACTATAAGCCAAACTCAGCTCAACTTAAGCAGCGTATGAGACTTACTGGTTGTAAAAATTTGTTCCCAAGTGTATAAAAGGTACAAAAAAGCTGCAGTGGTTTGAGAGAGAATTAGGGTCACCTCAAAGTACTGAACTAGATAACTGTCATATTAGTTATAGGCTAAAACATGTAGGCTAGTCAGACAACTTCATCGTGCTAAACTCTGGTATTAATCCTCCAAGTACTTACTGCTGTGAGTTTAAAAATATCTTCTTCCAGGAAGCATTCCCTTGTTTTTAAGCCATAAAGTAATTGTGTTATTTAAATGGCCTATAGCTAAGACAACTTGTTTAGAGCATCTTACTTTAAAACTATAAATACTAATGCTATGGCCTTAGGGCTCTACATTCTTAGCTAATTAACCACTAACATTTGTTGAGCTGACATGCAGCTTTTAATTTATTCTGAACTTTACTAGAAAGCAAGTCTCCATTGCCCGGAGCTGTGTCTACAGAATCCCTTTGGTCCACATACTTGTACACACACTGACTGAGAAGGAATACATAGGAAATAAGACAGCCAAAACATCTTCTATGAAGAACTATTGCTGACTGATCTTTAAACAGATAATCAAAGTTGAAATGCACACAGATTCAACTACAAATAATCTTGTTTGTCAAAAAGCAGGGGGGTGAGGTGGGGTGTAGGGGGTTGTTTATCCACAACAATAAATCTCACAATACGTGAGCTCAAAGCACAAAACTCCACAGAAAACATGAGAAGCTAAGATCCAAGTCCTGCATCGGTATTGGGCAAGCAAGCCAGAAAGAATTTCCATCACATATCACATACCTCAAATCACAGAGATCAATGTGGAATCTGTTCCTCGATCCACATGAACAGATTGAATAGTTATGGTTAAGATCCCAACATATCTTAAATCTGAATAACACTAATACATATCATCTCCTGAAGAATAGCTCATTGGGATGTTCAAGGCATGTGCAGGTATTTCATTTTATTTAAATATCCATCTTTCACCATGAAAGAGCAGAAGTATTAATAAGAGGCAAAGACTATTCCATGAAGTTAACCTGTATTTCTGATTGTTTATTTTTGTCTAATACCTAGCCTTCATTTACGGTAACAACGTATTAATGAAATGCACTTACGACAACTTTTTTATACCCATTACTAGGCCAGAGAGGAACAAAGTTAGGATTACATTTCCAGAAATAGAGCTTAAATTAAATTTTAACCACAGGAACTAACTGTGCCTCCAAGAGAAGTTAAATTTAACTAATGTCTGCCATCAGAGGCGTAAATTAAATACAATGGAAAGAAATGAAAAGTCTGCTTAATTTTTATTGTTGAAGTTTTCCCTCTTCCTTTTAATCTAGAACATATAGTGTTTCATATTTGAAAGTAACATCTATTTTTTATATTTGACAATTCCTGCCAGAGATGGCATTGGTGATTTCAGAATTGAATAACCATTTTTATAAATAATGTTAAAATAACAGT